TGAACTTTAACCATTTCCTTTTGGTACAGTGACTGTTGAGCTACTGCCGTGCAATTATCAACTTCAGTAGAAACAATCACACAGTTTGATTCTTTAATTTTCCAATTAGAGAAGACCAGCAAACTCGATACATGACTTTTTGGCCATGGCTTACAGCTTTATATACAATTATAATCAAAAGTAACATTTCAGATTTTTTTCTTTTGGCATTTATAGTAATCCTTATTATATATTGGTACAAACTTGATCAGGATGGTTTTCTTGATTCTGCAAGTTTATCTACTCTTTCAACAAATAATTGCACATTTGTTATATGGCAGGCAAGTTGTTAGATTCTAAGTTACAAATTTGAACAAAATACACACCATCATCACTCTCACTATGGTGATTATATCAGTACCAAAACATTATAGCACAAAGCATCAGTGTGATAAGTGCTGTGGGAGAAGAAGGAATAGTGGCTATGGGAGGGTCACTGCTGATAGAATTTAGATTGGGGATTGATGAAAAGAAAAGACCTGCGTAAAATGATGTTTAAATCACAGCTAGAAACTAAGGGAAAAAGTGTTTCATGAAGAGAAATGATTATATAACGAAATAGTGCCTTTTTGTGATCATTCTTTTATACAAGATTAGCTAAATCCTTACAGTCATCATGTAACACTAAGAGAAAATTATTATTTTAAGTGATTTTCACACTATGTAAACAAACTTGTAAGTCAGATCTACAGTTATTTCTCCCATTTTCCAAATAAATAAACAAAGGCATGGCACAAGTAGTAAAAGGCAAAGCTCTCATTCAGCCAAGCAGATTAGTTTTATAATCTGTATTCTATTCCTCAAATTCATACTGCCTTTTACAGCGAGAATGCTTTAAAGTGAAAATTAACTATGATAACAGCTGTTCACTTTGGAGTCTAATTAACACCAGATAAATCTATTTTAAAGATCAATTAATAGTAACTGAAATAACAGAAATTACACAAAAGCTTGTGTGTCATTTATCAGAAATCATAATTCACAACTGGACTCAGAAATTCACTTCACTTCAACAAAGATTTATTGTCTTTCTCAGTATGCAATATCAGTGATACCAAGATCACTGCCCTCAAGTTGTTCACAAAGTGATAGATTAGCCAGTAAGACTACATCTAAGTTATGGCAAATAATATGAAGCATGTGTGATTTGTGGGCAGAGTTTATCTTACTCACCTCTGAATTCATGGCATAGTGTCAGGCACCTGATAAAATACATAATGGATGAATGAATAAATAAAGGAATAAAGTAATGTACAATAAAAGGGGAGAATTACCTTTAAGGTATATCGTAAAAAAATTTCGTTAAAAAGAGGCAATTTGTGTTTTGCATGGTGAGTAGAATTTTCCTAGGAAATATGGTAGAATGGGAAAAGGAAACTTTGAAAGAGAGGAGAGGGAGCAAATTCATTTAAGTAGAAAAATAGAGGACTGAGTAAGAACAGTGAGAGAATTAACTACAGTTTGGTGAAACATTCTCTATTAAAAGTAGAGAATATAAAAATTTCTAATGAGGAAATGGCAAGAGCAGAGCTGTATTTTTATAAAATTTGTGTTGTATTGAGTTCTGGAATCTATGAAAATATTTTAGAGGCTAATTTATTAAGCTCTGTGCAAATTAATAATGATCTAACAAAATGCCAGTAAAGACAAGGAGAGAAATAAAAAGAAAAATAGAGATGCTGATAAAGATAATTTGGATTTTCTAGAATGCTGTAATATGCTTTATGGCAGTAATCTACATTAGCAAAAAGAAGGAGAGTAACACTTTGAAAATAAGAACGATTTCTTCATTTCATTGATAATACTTTTTTTTCTTAATGTAATTACGATGTCCCAAAGCATGCTTGAAAATAAAACATGTGTGATGCTGAAATATCTTCAATAGTGAAGCATATGTGATACTGAAATAGCTTCAATTTATTTTTTTTAAGGATTGGCAAAGCTTCCCTCAGACATATGTCCCAGATATATAGCATATAATTTTAGGTATAATTGCAAAAACTGTGGTGTCCAACAAAACTCCAAAAAGGAAAACTAGTCCATGTGCAGTTAATTTAAAAAAAGAAAGAAAAATGTTGAATCTTAAAGATTTGGTAATTTCCAGATTATTTTTATACACATAGTATTGTTGTTGCTAATTGCTGTCGGTTTCACCTTATAGTAACCTTGTATAAGGTTTCCAGGGAGCAGCTGATGGGTTTGAACTGCCAGCCTTGCAGTTGTCAGTCCAGCGCATATCCTGCAGCGCCACACCAGGACTCCTTTATACACAAAAGCAGGAGATTAAAGTAAATGAACAGAGGACTAATTTACTGTAATATATGGGAGGATGCGTGAATGAAGCTAAAATACAATTCTGGAAATGTCATCAGACATATATACAGTATATGCATGGGTGCATAACACCAGAAGGGTTTTACTTAATTTTGTCGTTAATACACGTTATACAAGTGGGCATGTTATTTGTTTGCCAGGGGAAAAGTGGTAACGTGTGCAATTTTATCCTGCTAATAAGTAGCATAACCAGGATAAAAAAAATCAAATGTCAGACTGTTTCTGAGTCTATGCTATTAACAACTTAATACGGCTTCTCAAAAGTTATGATGTTGTTAAGTGCTATTGAGTTGATTCTGACCCATAGCAACCCTGTATAGGGTTTCCAAGGAGCAGCTGGTGAGCTTGAACCAGCGACCTTGCAGTTCAAATGGCTTTGCAGTCTGGCGCATTAACCCACAGCGCCACACCAGGACTCCTAAAAGTTATGATAGTATGATGCTATTGCCATTAGCTATTCCAGAATGAGAGTCAAACAGAACTGAAAATATGTGAGAAAAATGTTTACTTCATTTATACAATCCTCAGCTAATAAGCTTGATACTAATCCTAAGGCAAAAAGCAAAACTATTGCCAAATGCAACAAGCATCCAAGTACACTCTGCCATTATTACCTTTGGGAACTTGGATCTTTTTCATGGCTATCATTAGTGGAGGGAACTTCATCCAGTCGCTCAGGTAGGGGATGATGATGAAAAGCATTGTGTGTTATTCCTTTCCTGTGAAAGATAAAACAAAGTTATGTTTCCCATAAAGTTACTTTTCAGTAACTTGATCTACAAGTTAGTCACCTACTTCCTGCAGCTCTAGAACCACAACGTCAAATACAGCACTAGTTTCTAGCATTATAAATGGGGCTAGTCTGCTGCACAAGACCTCTTTTAAGTGCTCAAGAGCACAAATATCAGTTTAAGGACTAAGGTGTGTCTGACCCAAGCCATGGTATTTTCAATCGCCTCATATGCATATGAAAGTTGGACAATGAATAAAGAAGACTGGAAAAGGTACTGGAGAACATTAAAAGTACCAAGGACTTCCAAAAGAACAAACAAATATATAATGGAAGAAGTACAGATGGAAGAAGTGCAGCCAGAATGCTCCTTAGAAGCTACTGTAGCAATACTTTGTCTCTCATACTTTGGACATGTTATCAGGAGGGACTAGTCCCTGCGGAAAGACATCATGCTTAGTAGAATGGAGGGTAGGTGGAAAAAGATGAGGACACTCAATCATGCAGCAGCAACGGAATCAAGCATAACAACAATTGTGAGGAGATCAGTGAACAGGGCAGTGTTTTGTTCTTTTGTGAATAAGGTCACTATGAGTCTGAACCAAATCAATGGCGGCACCAAACAGCAACAATTCTGCTCATTAACATAACAAAGATAACCCATTTTCAAATGGCATTAAAACTACAGGCAGAGAGGTTAGCATTTATAGCACACATATTTTGTTGTTGTTATGTGCCTTGGAGTCAGTTCGACTCATAGCGACCCTGCATACGGTTTCCAAGACTGTAAATCTTACGGAAGCAGAAAGCCTCATCTTTCTCACGCGGAACAATTTCCAACTGCTGACCCTGATATTAGCAGCCCAATTTGTAATCACTACTCTACCAGGGCTCCTTTGGGGGAGAGGGGGCACAATTAAATCCATAACAAGATGTAGGAGGGGGCTTATGGAAAAATTCCATTACCTTTTTCTTTTACTGGGGTGGATAGTAATAAGTTAGGGTTAGGACTATGGCTAGGTCTAGGCAAGCCCTAGGGTTTCGTTTAGTGTTAGGATTATGGTTAGAACCGGGGTTAATGTTGGGGAAAGGGTTTGGATTAGGGATAGGAATAAGGCTTGGTGTAGGATAAAGCACTGGACCACAAGGTAAGTTTGGACCACAAGGTAAGTTTGAACCACAAGGTCGATGGTTTAAACTCACTAGCTGCTCCTTGGAAACCCTATACAGAGCTGCTATGAATTGGAACCAATCTAATGGCACTTAATAACAACAGTTTTAGGATTAGTTAGGTTTTTTATTTGAAAGAGATTTGACTGACCATTTGAAAATTCTGTAACTACATTCTTTATTTTTACTTTTTGTTGTTGTTGCTGTTGCAACAGGTTATCTGTGGTTCTTCCTATTTTCAGTCTTGTAGGTTTTTTTTTTTTACATTGACTATTTCTGTCATTGCTGTTGTTAGTGTCATTGAGTACTGGGTTGAGTTCTCAGTGATACTGTCATGGACGCTAGTTTTAGGTTGCTGTCTGCTGTTGTTGGTTGTCTGCACAAAGAACTCCTTTTAATATTTTTTATAAGGTTGGTTTAGATATTGCAAAATTAAAAACTTTCTGTATATCTGGAAATATCCTATTTTACTGTCATATTTGACGGACAATTTAGCTGAGTAAGTGATTCTTGGTTGACAGTTTTTTTTTCAGACTTTTTATATAATGACATTCCACTATCTTCTTGTCTACAAAGTTTCTGCTGAGAAATCAGAGCTTAGTCTTATTAGTTTTCCTTTGTAGGTTACTTTGCTTTTTCTGAGTTGGTTTCAGGATGATTTCTTGTCTTTGGTTTTGACAAGTTTGATTATAATATGTCATTGTATTTATATTTAACTGATGATTGTATGTTGGTATGTTCTCAGGCATTTACCACCTGTCTCCTGGTGGATTTGATAGAGACTAGAAGTGTGAACACAATTCTTTGTTCACTGTGCAGCATGGTTCAGGGTGGTTTCATGAGCCTCCAGAATTTGGGGTGGTATGCCCAGTTGATGGACCACAGTCAAGGCTGCATTGGAGGGGATGCCACTGGCCGCTGCTTTGACGGCTACCAGGAGGGCAAAGGAATAAGGGAGAACTGCACCTTTCCTTGTCTCCCACCTCAAGCTTCATGCTGTGTCTGTAGACTGCTCTATCAACAGCTGCTTGCAAAAAACTCAAAATGGCCTTCCAACTCCTTGACAGCGTGCCTGGGTTTCTCTCTCTGCTCCTGCTCAGCTTCCTCTTCCAGTCACAATCAATCCACCTCTGTTTCCTAGCTCCTGAAGCTCAGTGGCCCAGGATCACCATCTGTATTGATTTCACGTACTCTCCCAAGTCTTTGTGGCAGAGGGTTTGCGCAGTGCACCTGCCAGCTCTACCAACTTACCCTACATTCAAATTCAGCTTTTCCATGAACTTTTGGAAGCCCCCTCATATAACCTTTCTGATACGGTTACAACTTCCAAAAATATAAAAATATGTCTTACAGAGTTATTGTGGCATGAGTCGATTTCAACTCATAGCCACCCTGGATAGGATTTCTGAGGAGTAGCTGGTGGGTTTGGAATGCCGACCTTGTGGTTCAAAGTCCAGCGCTGATCCTACAGCGCTACACCAGGCGTCCTACACAGTTGTTATGAGGATCAAAATGAGAACGTTCTTTGAAGGGTTAAAGCATGAACAAGTATTAGATATTCTCATAACCTGCCAAGTTACGATTTGCTAGGAGTAGGTGGTAGGTCGGAATTCTTCAGGTTTTTGGTTCCCATAAAGATGTGTTGTTGTTGTTGGTATTGTGATTAATTGCTGTGGGGCCAGTTCCAGTTCATAGTGACCCTGTATAGAGTATCCAAGGAGCGTGTGGCAGGTTTTATAGCTTCAGAAACCCTATATGGAGTCGCTATGAATCGGAACAGACTCTACAACACACAGCAACACAAAGTATGGAAAGCAGCTTAAGTTCAGAAATATATCAGTAATTAATCGTTATGATCACAGGCTTGATCTGCACCGAGTTTGCCCAGCTTCTGTCGTTTGGCTGAATCTTTTAAAGGCAGGCTATAAACTTTAAATTGATGTCTTAGTGTGATGCTGCAAGGTCAGCACTGGACTGTACAAGGTTGGTGGTTCGAACCCACCAGTCATTCCTTGGAAACCCTATACAAGGTCGCTATAAGTCAGAACTGACTCAAGGGCATTTAACAACAACAATCTTTAAAATCTGTGACCTTTATCTGTGGTGGTGGTGTGCCATTGAGTCAGCTCCCACTCACAGGAACCTATATAGGACTTCTGAGGCTATAAATTTTTATAGGTTCAGAAAGTCTCATCATTCTCCCACTGCTATTAGCAAACCAACTGGTAAACCACTATGCTACCAGGGCTGTGCAATGTAACAGGTCCTATTCGGAACCGACACCACGGCACATAACAACAACAAATTCCATATCCTAGGAGAGCTCTGGTAGCGTAATGGTTACGAATCGGTCTGCGAACCTCACTGAGGGTCAGCAGTTCGAAACTACCAGCTGTTCTGCGGGAGAAAGATGAGGCTTTCTGCTCCCGTAAAGAATTGCAGCCTCGGAAACCCTATGCAGGGTCACTATGAGTCGGAATCGACTCCACGATACTTAATAACAAATCCCACATCCTAGTGATGAGGATTGGGTGAGCTAATGAATGCATGTAAACAGTTTAGCACGTTGCCGGGCACAACTTTATTGTGGCACTCTCTTACTAATAACTTCTCGATCTGTCAGTGGCCATCGACAGTAGGAAATTAAGCACTGCAGAATCTGTGTCTTAGGGGACCCAGTTCCAAGAGGGCCAAGTCCTGGGATAACAGACCGTGCTCGATGTAAGAAGGGCCAGCGCAGGAGTGAGAAGGAAGAGAAAGTTCTCATCTCGCCCTGGGAAAGGAAAGGTGCGAGGGACTAGTTAGGGAACCGCTTCACTTCTCCGGGCCCGACCCGGGTGCCTGAACAGTCTACTTACAGTTCTAAGCTCTGGGGAGCCGCCTTTCGAGTGTACCTGGAGATCATCCTCTTCTTCCTCAGTCGCGGCCCGCGCGTGCACGCCAGGGTGGGGGCCTCCGGGCCTGGCCCTCCAGCCAGCTCCGGCCCGGCCCCCTCCCGCCACCCTCCGGCCCCGTCTCGCCCCGTCTCCTAGACTCCGGACTGTAACCTCCCCAAGTCTGGACCACCTTTCCGGTTCTCCGCCCTCCCGTCTACCCGCGGGAGCGGAAGTGACGAAGTCATCAGTGCACTTGCCTAATGCTTCTGCTGACGCTGATGAGACCTGGCGTTTCCAGACTTAGCAGTTGTGATTTCCTCCTCCGATTTCTACTGGTGTGAGGTCCTACTCGGGTGTTGGGACGGGACCTGGGCCAGACTTTGGCGGCTGGTGACCCTGAAAAGCACTGATTCCGTGGACACTCAGGAACCTTGTTATCACGTGGTGGGAGGGACAACGGAAGAAAAGTGCATCAACAGAGAAGCGTGGGAGAGGGCCAGAACCGTAAGAGGAATTAACTTCGTTTTGTTGAACTCTAAATCAGGCCTCTGCTGCTTGACCCTTCCCATTCTTTGCTTCCACTTTTCCCCTCTGTATAGTGAGGAGTTAGTGTGGATGATATCAAAACCCCTCCCCGTTTTGGCTTTGTAAATTTTGTATACTAGGTGCGCTTGGCGTTCAGAGGGTAAGGATAAGGCGGGTAAAATTTGAAAAGGCTTTCAGTGGGTGTCTGGAGTTCTCAACCTCGCTGGTTAGTAAAGTACAGGTAAGTCCAAAAGTATTGCTACAAATTCGTGGAAACCTTTATTAAGTAAAAATATCACAATGTGAAGCTATTACCTCTCGACATATTCTCCATCTAGGTCTGTGTTGTTGAGAGCCATCGAGTACGTTCCGACTCATGGCTAGCTTGTATAGGGTTTCGGAGACTTTAACAATTTTTGCAGGAGCAGAAAGCCTCATCTTTCTACCGTGGAGCGGCTGGCAGGTTCGAACCTCGCAGTGTGGTTATCCGCCTAGTGCTTACTGCGCTAGACTTCTGAAGTCATTTTTTTTTTACATCTTGAATTCTTCCCCTAAGAATACTGTGCATTTTGCGTTACACTATGTCAAAACAGCAGTTTGGGCATCCTCAAGGGACTCAGATCCTGTTCCTCCTATGTGTTCATTGAGTTTGTAGCGTAGTGGTTATGAATCGGGCTGCGAACCACAAGGTCAGCAGTTCGAAACTAACTACCAGCTGTTCCGTGGTAGAAAGATGAGTTGTTCTGCTCCCATAAAGATTTACAGCCTCGGAAACCCTGTACAGGGTCACTATGAGTCGGAACCGACTCCAAGGCACACAGCTAGCCAAATAATTCTGAAAGGGAAAATTAGGGCTGTGGGGTGCATGGGGTAAGGTTTCCCAATGAAATTCCGTTACAATATAGCCTTTTGTATCCTTGAAGAATGAACTGGTAAATTGTTGTCATGCAAAAAAATTACTTGACACAATTTTTTTGGCCTTTATGTCACCAATGTCGTTTTCAGTCTTGGTAAAAATGCCTTCATAATAAGCTGTTATGATTGTCCTGTGTCTGTCAGAAAAATCCATCAAAATTACCCTTTTGGAACCCCCAAAATAGTTGCCATAATCTTCTGTATTGAGCTCCTGTATTTAACTGACCCAGCAGACCCCCCTCAGAAGTGGCTGTTTTGATTTGTCGTTGCTCTTTGGAATGTATTGTTAAATCCAACACTAGGCCCCAATTACAATCCACACCATGAAATTAGTTTGAACTTGCTTAAAGGACAATGGGAAGAATCAGCACCCATCTAGCCAAAAGTTTGCTAAGGCCAAGATGTTCACTTAAAATTAAAAATGTCAAACCCAATGTGTGGCAACCCAACATCAGTAGCTATTGCATAAATGGTAATTCTGTAGTCTTCTTCCACTATTTTCTAGACAGCAGTTCATTTGTTGAAGTTGACTGTCTTTCCACTCCTGACTCATCTTTGAAGTCTTTCTGACTTTCATTAAAACACTTGATCCGTCTAAAAATCTTGTTTTATGTGAGGCAACATTCCAGTAAACTGTAGCAAAACTTCAGTAGTTTGGGAAGATGTCCACTTTGTAAAAAATTGGATATTAACCCTGACCTCAAAATTGCTTTTTTTAATAGCACATAAAAAAAAATCTTTCTTTTTTTGGAAGCCACCTTACGTGAAACTAAGACTCATTGCTGAGAGAACTTATCAGTAGCCATCCACTGATCACAGAGACGTGTTTAAATGCATTTTTGTCTGGAATAAATCCATGCATGTATGAACTGGAACCGTAGTAACAGTGCTTTTTGATTTACCCTCATGTAAGCACTGAACTGTCAGCATTTCAGGTGCCTTCCTTTTACCTAGCATTGCTCTTTGAAAGAAAGAAGAGTCACCACCTTCCCCTAGTTCATGATAAAGTGTTCTTTTGTGAATTTTTCCAACCATGTTTTGAAACTACATTTTCACTCTACCATTTTGGGAACTGCGAACCACAAAGTTAGTGGTTTGAGCCCATCAGCTTATGAAGAAAAAGATGAGGATTTCTGGGCCCCGTGAAGATTTGCAACCTCAGAAACCCTATACTGAAACTGACTTAACAACACTTAACAATTACCTTGTAAAGCACTGGTACTTTCATTTGTAGCAGAAGCTTTAGAAAATCAATATTTACTTCCTCTCAGTTTATCAGTGCTGTATCACTGAGACTTCAAAAAGTGGCAAATTTAGAAAGATAGGTATAAGATCAAGAGCCATGAGCAAATTGTATTCTCAGTAGGGTGGAACCTTTATTTGGGGATGAGATGCTTGCACATGGATGTTTTGTAGCTTTGAATTCTCCTATGACATATAATGCTTATAAAAGGGAGATATGCAAATCATATAGACCAAGGGGAAAGCTCCCTAAAGAGCTTTAAAATAATAAAACTTTAAGCCAGAAAGGGATTTTAGAAAAGATAGAGTAAAACACCCTTATTCTACAATTGAGGCAAATACCTCAGAGAAGAAAATGAAGTGCCTAAAGTGACAACTAATTGGTAGCTCTGGGACTTTTGATAATATTTAAACAGCATTTTAAAACTTTAGTCTTACATATTTATCGGTTAATTTTGGGAATATGACACTGAATTTCCATTTCTATCTTGATATAAAGGGAGCACTGGTGACTGTGGGTTAGGTGTTTATCTACTGACTTAGGTGAACAAAGTCAGTAGTTCAAACCCACCAGCTGCTCTGAAGGAGACCAATGAGGCTGTCTGCTCCCATAAAGATTTACAGTCTTGGAAACCCTACATTGGGTCTCTTTGAGTTGGAATTGACTCCTTGCCAGTATGTTTGGTTTTTGGTTCCTTTTACATGATTTAAAGGATAAAGCTCTGGTAGCATAGTGGTTACGAATTGGGCTGCGAACCTTAAGGTCAGCGGTTTGAAACTACCAGCTGCTCCGTGGGAGAAAGATGAGGCTTTCTACTCCCATAAGGATTTACACCCTTGGAAACCCTGTACAGGGTCGCTATGGGTCGGAACCGACTCGACGGCACTTAACAACAACAACAACAATTATTAAAAGGAATAATATTAAATGCTAGCATAGTTGGTATATGGTCAGAGCAAAAACATCTGGTAGTAAGTCAATAACTTAATGTTGGAAAACAAGTGTTAATGAAAATTGCCTTGAATTCAGGGCATGGGGTCTACACTGTTGTATGTGGCTTATATTATTGAAAACTTTAAATGTAGTTTTAAAAGAAGAATGGAAGAAAATACGAAGTATGCTGTACTGGAAGAAACTGTGGAATACCACCTGTTCCTCATAACAAATGAACCGAAGGATCCAGAAGAACACAAGGAGATTCTTCTGAAGTATATTGAGAGAATAATGACCCGCTTCGCACCCATTCTGGTCCCCTATATCTGGCAGAATCAGCCTTTCAATCTCAAGTACAAATCTGGAAAAGGTAAGTCTCTTATTCTTTTACTGGTATAAGAAAGCGAGCTATTAGAACTCCATTCTAATAGTCATTACCTCAGGAACTAGCATATCCTAAACATTTTAGATCAGTGATGCTCACCTAGCCTTTACACTTAAAATAATTTTTAAAAAAAAATCCATATTGAGGAAAACTTTCTAATAGTCATTGCCTCTAGAACTAACATATACACAGCTTTATTAAACTCTGGGCAATTCTTTTGAACTTTTAATTACTCAACTATACCCTAATATTCTAAACTTTTTCAAGAGATTGATTCCTTAACCATGGTTCCTTTTGTTGTTACTCAGAATCGCTCTCTTGATGATGTCTTTAGTAGGCTGCCATCTTTCACATAATTATGTGGTTGGATCTAAGAGTGACCCAACCTGGCTTACAAGAGAAACAGTTGGGCTTTATAACCACCGCTTACCACTCTGAAGCACTGTTTCTTCACTACTTTCCTGTATTGTTGGTACTTGAGGTCTGAACTTTGACCCATATGTAGCACTTTATTGTTTTTTGTTTTTTTTTTAATGTGACTTGGGTGAAGATTTACAGACAAGATCATCAGTTTTACATTCAACAAGTCATATACTTAGTTTCAGCTCAGTGATTGCGATCCCTTCCATACAACAACAGTTCCCCTGCTTCCTCCTGTGGTTCCTAGTTCCATTCTACCCTCCTTCCCGTCCCTTCTCAACTGTGTCCTTAGGTAAATGTTTCCCTTTTGATTTTGAATGATTGCTCATTCCATGGTGAGCGTACCTTACTAGTGTTGTTGTTGTCTTTATACCTGTCTACTACTTGGCTGAAAAATTGGACCATGAGGATAAGTTCCTTTCCAGACCAGAAAGGTAGTAGAAGGCCACACTCTGACTAGTAAGCCCAGTCTTTTTTTTATAATTTCAAGTTTCGTTCTACATTTTCTCCCACTCTATACACGACCTTCTAATGTGATCCTTTTCAGAGAAGTTGGTATTGGTAGTTCTCCTGGTCTCAGAGTCATAGAGACTGATGGTCACATGTTACTTTAGTCCACTGGACTAATTGATTCCAAGCATCTTCACATTTCTCCTGACTCTTCTATCTTCTGCACATGGAAAGACCAACAGTTACACCTTAGATGGCCACTTGTGAGCTCTTAAGATCCCAGATGTTACTCACCAAAGTAGGATGCTTTTTTTATGGCTACGTTATGCCAATTGACAATTGTATCCCCTGAAACCATGGGCTTGAATCCTTAGTTCCAGTAACTCATTGCCTTAACATGTTTCATAGTATCTAAGAAGTTTTCATCATTTTGCCCACTGTATCACTGTGGGCTAATGTGCTAGATTGCAAAGTCATTTGAACCAAAAGGTCAGTGGTTCAAGCTTACCAGCTGCTCCTTGGAAACCCTATACAGGGTCACTATAAGTCGGAACTAACTAGATGGTACTTAACAACAACAACAACAATCCTGGTGTGTCACTATAGGATCAGCACTGGACTGCTAACTATAAGGTTGGTGGTTCAAATCCACCAGCCACTCCTTAGAAACCTTATACAGGGTCACTATGAGAACTGACTCCACAGCATTTAACAATAATGCTGTACCACATTCAGAGTTGTGTTTGCAGGAAAGGTAAGTACCCATGTACAAATTCTCTTGCAAACCCTTGTATATCTGTAGGTATACTTCCACTTTTCTTCCCATGTCCGTTCAGCCTGTGTATCTGTCCATATGTCTAATTGCAGAACACTTTTGTTCCAAGGTTGTATATCTGCCACTACTTACCTCTCCCCTTTAGCTCTTGCATATCTCTCTGTGTCTCCACCTGTCTTTGTCATTCTATTAACACCTCTCTTGTCTATTGCTCTCCCCATCACCCAAGTTAACATGTGCCTTCCATCTAGCTGGAATCCTGGTGTGACACTGTCCGGGGATAAGCACTGGACCACAAGGTCGATTTGAACCCCAAGGCCAGAACCCTATACAGAGTTGCTGTAAGTCAGAACTGACCCTAGGCAGTTAACAACAACCCTCTAGCTAGTGAATTACTCTCCCTTCCCTTCCACCCCTGATAACCATCAAAGAAGGTTTCTTTCAGCCTGAAAACTTTTTCTTGAGTATTTGCAATAGGGTTCTCGTACAATATTTGTCCTTTTATGACTGACTAATTTCAGTCAGCATAATGTCCTCCAGGTTCATCCATGTTATGAGGTGTTTCCCAGATTCATCACTGTTCTTCACCGTAGCATAGTATTCCATTGTGTGTATGTACCAAAGTTTGTTTAGCCGTTCGTCCAGTGATGGGCATTTAGGCAGTCTACATGTTTTTGCTGTTGTGAATAGTGCTGCGATGAACATCAGTGTGTCTGTGTCTGCTGCTGTCCTGACTCTTTATTTCTTGTGGTTATGTACCAAGTCAAGGGATTGCTGGGTCATATGGTATTTCTGTTTCCAACTTTTTGAGGCAGCACTGTACAGTTTTCTACAGAGATTGCATCACTTTACAGTTCCCCCAACCCCTCATCTTGCACTGTAGGATAAGCACTGAACCATAGTTACTTTGAACTGTAAGATCAGCATTAAACCCACTAGTCACTCCTGGGAAACTCTATACAGGGTGGCTATGAATCTGAACTGGCTCCATGACACTTAACAACAACAACCAGCAATGTAGGAGGAGTCCAGTCTCTCTACACTTTCCTCAGCATTTATTGTTTTCTGTTTTTCTCTGACTTTTATGTTAATACTAGGATGCGGTGATATCTTAATGGTTTGTTTTCATTTGCATCTCTCTAGTGGCTAATCGAGTTCGGGTATGGTGCTGCAAGATAATGCAAGGTTAGTTTGAACTGCAAGGTCGGCGGTTCAAACCCACCAGCCACTCCTCAGTGAAGAATGGCTGCTAAGTTTGAACCACCGACATTTGGGTTCAAACCGACCTTGCGGTCCAGTGCTTACCCTACAGTACTATACTTTGGAAACCCTGTATGGAGTGGCTCTGAGTTGGAATTGACTCACTGGGGCAGTAAGTGAATATGCCTGTGGGTATTCTCCCAAGTGGAAATGAGTTGTTGTTGATGAGACAGGATTAGTGTGAAGTGTAATTTGAGTTGTTTTTTTTTTAACTTTTTATTGTGAATTGACTAAGATCATCAGCTGTACATACGACAAATTATTAATCAGTTTGTTTTGAGATCTGAAAGAGATGAAACAAGTGCGAAGCAGAGTTGAGGCAAGAGAAATGAAAAGCCTTGTGAAGGTCACCCAAGAGCAGACGCTCAGAGACAAGGCTCTCCCTCCAAACCGACACAGACAGCCTTCACCTGGAGCTGCCAGCCTGAACTTGAAACTCTAGCCCCCTGAACTGTGAGAAAATAAATGGCTGTCTGTGACAGCCCCCCACTTGTGGTATTTCTATTTTATAGCAGTACTAGAGAACTATGGTAAGGTGATTCCGACTGGGAGCATCCCCATGGGACAGAGTACAGCTGCTCTCTGAGGTTTCCAAGGCTGTAAGTCTTCACGGAAGCCGACTGCCTTCTCCTCCTGCTGTGGAGCAGCTGCTGCTGCTGGTGGGTTCTCATCACTAACCTTGCAGATAGCAGCCCAGTGCTCATCCCACTTTGCCACCAGGGCTCCTTAGATAGCTAAGAGGTTGTTGTTGTTAGGTGCCAATGAGTTGGTACTGATGGCCAGTGACCTTTATGCACAGCAGAACGAAACACTGCCTGATCCTGGGCCAACCTCACTATTGTTGCCCTGCTTGAGTCCATCGATGCTGCCACTTGGCCAATCCATCTCGTTGGGTGTCTTCCTCTTTTTCTCTGACCCTCCAACCTTACCAAACATGAGATCCTTCTCCAGTGACTGGTCCCTCCTAACAATATGTCCAAAGTATGAGAGACGAAGTTTGACCATCCTGGCCTCCAAGGAGCACTCTGGCTGCACTTCTTCCAACACAGATCTGTTGGTTCTATGGGCAGCCCATAGCACTTTCAGTATTCTCCAACACCATAACTCAAAAGCATCAATTCTTCTTCTGTCTTTCGCATGCATGTGAGGTTATTGAAAATACCATGACTTGGGTCAGGCGCACCTTAGTCCTCAAGCTGACATCTTTGCTCTTCTACACTTTAAAAAGTTCTTGTGCAGCAGATTTGCCTAATGCAATATGTCATTTGATTTCTTGACTGCTGCTTCCGTGAGTGTTGATAGTTGATCCAAGAAGAATGTTAAGATACTGACTGTAAATTTTATTGAACTGTTCACTAAGCTACATGTGTTTATTGCTGAGAACACTGACCCCAAGCCAAGAAACCCACTGCCTTTGAGTCAATTCTGACTTACAGCAACCTTATATAGGGTTTGTGAGGCTATTTATCTTTATGGTATCCAAAAGATTCATCTTTCTCCCAAGGAGTTGCTGGTGGGTTTGAACTGCCAACCTTCTGGTATACAATACCATCAGAGCGTCTCACATTAGCCAAGCTCATCCAAAGCTAATTTATCTTTCCTTTAGAACTTTTTTTTTTTTAACTTAGTTTTCTCAGTTTGTGTCATCCAACCTAGTTAATGCTGCAGAATCATACTCCAGTTCTCATTTTGCCATTGCCATGTTCATTTAAGTCCTACTGTGCTTGCCTCTAAAACACAGCGCCTCCTCTACATCTGTTCTGACTGGGATCATGGCCCTCTGGATCTGCTCCTCTGGGAAGCAATAGCCTCCTCGCTAAGCACTTAACTTCCCAGCTTGCCAATTCCTCACACTCTGCCAATTACCTTTGTAAAACACAAAGTGGATGTCATTCTCCTGTGTGACATCCTTCAACAGTTCTCCATTGCTTTAGGATGAAGTTCAAATTTAAGTATAAAGTACGTAAAATAGGTGCTCTAACTGGATTTGCCCTAGTTGAGGAAGCTTGGGAGAACTGCGGTGAGAAGAGTTGGTGAACTATACTTCCCTTCTGTTTTTCTTGGGGTGGGGGGATTTGGCATGGCAGCTCTTGAGAGATACTCCCTAATGCACTTGTTTGAAAATTTCTGCTTCATCCAAATCTAGTCTCCTGATATTTCCAGAACATGCTGTTTGCACTTGCTGTTCCTTCTTCCTAGAATCTCATCCCTGGTCGCTCCTCCAGTTCAGCATAGCTCAAATATCACCTTCTTTGTGCTCACATAGTCCTTAGTGTATACATTGGTTCATCAACTTTTTCTGAATGACCTGGTTTTCTATCTCTTATTTTAGACCCTGAGTTCTTCTTGAGTAAGCATCTTGTATCTTGTTCAGTATTGTAGCCCCAGATTCCAGCATTGTTGTTGTTAAGTGCTGTTGAGTTGGTTCCAACCTACAGCGATCCTATATAGGGTTTCTGAGGAACAGTTGGCGAGCTGAACCACCGACCTTGTGGTTCAAAGTGACTTTGTGGTCTAGCGCATTAACCTTCAGCGCCACACCAGCACTCCAGCTTCCAGCATAGTAGACAGTGAATTGTTCTTCAATTGAATGATCACGTGTATTTGTATTTACAGTGATAAATGTGTCTGCTTATATGGTTGCTTTTCTCTTTTGTGTAGGAGACGTACCCGCTCATATCTTCGGCATGACAGCATTTGGGGATAATGAGGAGGATGAATGGTTTATTGTTTATATAATAAAGCAGATTACAAAGGAATTCCCAGAATTAGTAGCCAGGTATTGTAGTTATTTTAATAATTCTCATCATTCCATTACTGAACTAAGTGATTACATTTTTATCATCTTAGTACATTTTTTCTATAGTCTTGGAAATTATATGAATTGGGGGCATAGATTTAAAACGTGACTTCTGTATTTAGCGGAGTCTTTTCTTGTGGAAGAATTGAAGTATCATTAGAGAGATCAACTTCCACAACATTTGTAACAAAACCTACTTGCTTTAGATTTTCTTTTTTTATTATTATGAAAGGACATTTAGTGAGCAGACAGGAGCACTACTGTAATCTAATCAGCATTCAATTTTTATGTGTCTTTTAAAAAACATAAAATGTCACTCATATCCAAATGTACATGTTTCATAGATTTTTAAATGTCTTTTTTTTTGAGAGAAATCAGTGAGTAATCAGATTGAAGCAAAAGTAGGTAGCACTGCATTTTAATCCAGTTTTCAAAATGGGAAAACTGATGTTGTTGTTAAATGAGTGCCATTGACTTGGCTCCGACTCATAGTGACCCTGTGCACAACAGAACGAGACACGGCCTGGTCCTGCGCCATCCTCACAATTGTTCTGTTTGAGCCCACTGCTGCTGCCGCTGTCTCAGTCTATCTCATTGGGGGTCTTCCTCCTTTTCGCTGACCCTCCACTTTACCAAGCCTGATGTCCTTCACCAGGGCCTGGTGCCACCTCAGGTCTCGTCATCGTGACTTCTAATGAGCATTCTGTCTGTTCTTCCAACACAGATTTGTTCTGGGGAAAATGAGGTTGTTGTTAAGTGCTGTTCAGTTGGTCCTGACTCATACTGGCCCTTAATAGGGTATGTAAGAAGCAGCTGTTGTATTTGAACTGCCAACCTTATGGTTAGCATTACAGTGCTAGTTCTCCATAATTATCAAGTTATGCCTGTAAAGGACATTTTCATCCCCTTACATTATTTTGTCTTTTTTTTTCCAGTTAGTCCCCAGATTCTGACCTATTTCTACCCACCCAACCTCTTCTCCAATATTACAAAGAAAAAACAAAACAGAGCCTCTGAAAAGTTTTTATTATCAAAATTTCAAACATATGCACTTGTAATCATTGAGATGAAACATGGTTTATGGTTTGCTGAATGTAGAGCTGATGTAAACCTTTACCCAATTGACAATTAAAAGCTTTTAAAAAAATACAAACATACAGATTATAAGGTGAGTTTAATGAATCTACATATACTTAACCATCACCAACCTTCAACAATGAGCAAATCATAGCCAATCTTACTTTATGCTTAGCAAGATTTTAAAGCAAATCTCTGATACATATCATCTTATAACTAAGTGCTTCAGCAGTCAATCTAAGATAAAAGGATTTTTAAAAGAAATTTAAACTTGTTCCTACTGCTGTCTTAGTTAGTTAGTGATGCTGTAACAGGAATACCATTAAGTGGGTGGCTGTAAAGAACAGCTTATTTTCTCACAGTTTAGGAGACTACGAGTTTGAAACGATAATACCAGCTATGAGGCAGGCAGTCTCTGGTCTCTGGGAGGAAATCCTGC